ACACGTGCGAATCGACTGACGTAAACTTGGACTTGGACTTGGACTCTAGGCGCTCATTTGATAAACTAATTGCAGTACCAAGTCCAGCGCTGAGTTGCCTTCTAATTGAATTTAATATGAATTAACTAATTTGTACGCTGCGCTCTTTCCCTATATAGGGTATTCTAGTTTTCTAGTAAAGTGTGCTTACATGTGTTGATATAAATTGGAACATATTCGACTTTTTCCAGTAGCCAGATCTTGTAACTATTTGTTATAGGTTGAAAAATCATATCTTAAGTGGAAAACTTTATTATTTACTAAGATGTCAACATATTTTTTTTTTAGTTACAAATGTTATTGGGCTCCAAACAATTACTAATGGGGAAATTTATATAAGAACAGGTGGACTCGATTCGAGCCTGGGTTTTTGGGGTAATTTGCCAAATTTTAGGGTAATTTTCTATATCTGCTACCTGATTTTACTAAATTTCCCTAGGCCAGTGTCTTTTAAGCTCGACTATATGGTCATTTGATTATTGGTGAATTTTCTTCAACTGACTTTGTTATGTTATGTTGCTTATGTTGCCACACGGCCGTGTTGGTCACTCAGGTGGCAAGTAGCGGATGCCGCCAACGTTCGCATCGGCGACATCACGTAAATTCACGTGCCACAGTTGAAGCTGAAGCTGGACACGCAGATGTGGCAGTAGGTGGAGTGTGGGTGGGCATGGGCAAGGGGATGGCAAGGTAAGTGTAAGGGATCCAACTGGGAATACATCGATGTGCAACGTGTTTTTACGCTTTAATACCTTTCACAGCTGAATACGAATGAAAATAGCGGTACATGTGTCCCCTTCTCCCAAAAAAAATAGAAGAAAACAGCAGAAGAATACTGGGCACCTCTCCCCACTACCATACTCAACTCCCCTCCCCCTTTGAATTCCCATGGACAACCCCACAAAGAAGAAGGCAAACAGAAAACATCATGAATCCTGTATCGCGTTCACCTACTCTCTCTGTGTGTGTTTTTGTATTTTTCTTGTTGTAGTTGCTGGTGCAGTTGAGCACGCGCCGCTTTACGTTGCGGGCGTGACGGGTGGGGAGGCGCTTAGCCCCGCCCAGGTTCCCCAGGCTCCATGGTACCAGGTGCTACAAAGCCAAAATTCCAATGATTTTCGTATTTTTCTTTTCTTACTTTGTTGTTTTTTTTTTTTGGTGGTGGGCGGGGGGGTGTTATGTGAGGGGGTTCCAAAGCAAAGGAATAGATTAACGGTAACCGTGACTTTTCCAGCCTAGACACAATTTGTAGACGAGTGGAGTCACAAACCATATCCAACACCAGTAGCAACTATCGAAAAAAAGAAGTGCCTGAATATAAATATATTCGGACCGTCATGATCAAATTTGATATAACTGCAACTAATAATATACATTGTTAATCGATAATATATCGATAGACATCAACAGTGTCTTCTTTTATTAAGTCTACATTATTCATTAATAATGCAACGATAGACATTGTTAATCAATAATGTGTCGATAGACTCATTTTAATAAAACCAAACATCAACAATTAAGCAATCAGCAAAAATCAAACGCTATCAATTAGAAACTTATGTCCACATTGGTATACGTTGATTTTATCGATAAGTCTATTCAATTTATTTTTTTAGCCAAAATCATTATCAAGCGCTGTAAGGGAAAATACCAATTTATCGATAAGCAACCAAATGTTGTACTAGCTGGTCTCGACGAAGCTATGCTAATTTATTTGCACCGATAACCGATAGACTGTTTCAGTTCTACACTGCAGGGCCAATCTCAATTGAACTCTACCGGTTTTCGGTTATTTTATTTCAATTTCTTTTGACTTTTTTTGTTTTGTTTGTTCCTTTCATTCACACGCACTTTGTCAACACCCCCGTTTTGGCACCGCCGCTGCTTCTTCTTTCTATTTACACACACACACACACACACTCACTTACACGTTATTTAGGAACACTGAAGCAAGACATCAGGATTCAATAAAATGTACAAATATTTATAATATTCTTGAAAACAGCAATAATAAGCAAAACCTGTACAACAGGGCGTCACGGACCGTGTAAAATGCAGTTACAATTAATATGAAAGCTGAAAACAGTGTAAAACAGTGTTTGAATTCACCACTACGTACCAGCAAGAGTAATACAAATAGTGCTCTGCTATGGCCACAGCTTTAAAGCTTTCAAGTAGCATGGTTGGTATGCTCTTGAGCCAATCTCCGAGATATAATTAATGTTAAGCAAGCTTCTTTTATATCAATTAATTGCTTTATATAACAAACAAAAATAACTAAGATATTATTTATTTACATATTCATCGTTTTAGTTTTCTTGCTGTGTAGTTCCGCTTTTCTTTCTTCGGTTTTTCTTCTTTTTTTTTGTCATTGTATTTCTTGTGTGCGCTTTGTGTTTGTGTTTGGGCTTTTGTTGTTATTGCCACTACTGTTGGGCACCCTGTTAGTGTGTCAGTGTGCTAGAAACACACACACACACACAGACACATATATATTTATATATATATATATATATATATACACCCCAAGCTGAGTTGTTGTTACCTGCGTGCAAAATCGCGTGCCAAAAATCGCTACATTTTTTTTTTATTTCCGTTTGCGTTTATGTTTTACTTAAATTCCCTTTAACCGGCCTCAACACATCCGACCGCGACCCTCTTGACACCCAAACAACAACAACAGCAAGAACACCATTGCCCGGAAGCGTACAACATCCCCAGACTCCCCCATCACTCCCACTCCCGCATCTCACGCAATAGTCCCCCTCTTCCACCCGCCGCTTTTTCGACAGTTTTACGCTGTTGCTTTTTAGTTGCCGCTACGGGTTTTCATTATTTGCAATATCACGTAACGCCAAATGAAGTCGTAAAACGTCGAATCCCCGAAAACATATACACATATACACACACCCTACTCCTCTTTCTATCTATATATTTAGTGTGTGTAGGTTTGTTGGAGAATTCAATGGAAAACAAAAAATGAGAGGGAAAAAACAAATTGTTAAAGTTATATTGTTGGAATTACAAGTACGTTTGATTAAGCGGGCATCCCTACAAAGCCATCCAGCTCTTCACACTCCCACCGTTGCGAGCCTACCATAAACTTGAGGCATTTAAATTATGCACAAGTGCCGACAACCGGAACCGGGTCAGGACAACAACAGCAACAGAGAAACAGAATGGAACAAACAGGACGCGTTGCCTAAGTGGTTTCTCATTTAGCTGCGACGCATAAATCAAGCATTAAAGTAAATAAACAAACAAAACAAACCAAATCAAACCGAGAACCAAGACTTGAGAACTAAGAATTGAGAACGAATTGAAATAAAACAAGGAAAGCAGCAATAACAGCAATAACAAAACCCACAGCAGTCTACGACAATAATAAACGAAAGAATTTAATAAACGTCTAGGCGTTGCTTAATATCCTTAGACTAATAAAAGGAAATCGGGACTGCGGACTGTCAACTCCGGGCTATTGCTATTGAATTTATTTTTATTTTATTTTTAATTAATTATATATTTAGTGTAGCCTTAAAACAGAGCACAGTTTTTACAAAAGCTTACCAAATAAATAACAACTATTTAAGATTCAAGTTTCAAATTAAATTAAACAAAATGAAAAGGGTGAAATTAAATTTATAATTTAAAATTAAAGAAAAAATAAAGGATTAAAATATGAAAATATTTGTTAAATGGATTGGCGAAAGGCAGGAAAACGCAATCAGATTAAAAATGGTTGAGCGTTAGTAGCTTTGTGATAAGGAAAGTAAAAAACGCTAAGAAAGGAGAAAGAGAAAGATATTGAATATCCGAATGATCTCAGTTATAAAGTAATGAAATTGTCACACAAACAAAATTACCATATCAACTATTCAATTAATATTAATGCCAAGGAATTACCTTGAAACAATGAAGAACAGCTATATATTTTGAAAGACTAGAATTTCACCCTTCAGATCCGAGGCAACCTTTCGACATATACAATTTAATTAGTAGTTGTGGGCTCTAGATGATTTAGCACGCGTAACTATTGAGTTTGATTGGGATAACTTGGTAAACAACAATGATTTTCAAACAAGAACTCATCTTTCAACCGTTTACTAATATGGCAGCTTTATGATATGGGAGCCCGATCCGACCGCTTCCGAAGAATGTATTGCGTTTAGCAAGGATATATGTCAGTTCTATTAAGATAGCTTTAAAACCTAGCTTGATGTATAAGTGTGTAAAACTGTTGGTTTTATCCGAATATCTTGGTAAATAGAGGGTATATAAATATGTGTATGTCAAAAAGACAACACTTCAGAGATACGTCGTCATCACAAAAGAAGAAGAACGGAAAAATTGCTTGTTATTTTTTTGTTTCTTTTCCTTTCGTTGCTTTTCAGTGTTGCTTGAAAATTAATTAAAACCCATATTAATGATTTGGCGTCGCCTGATATGATTCCAGGTTTAGAACATTTATGAACTTTGACGCATCAGTCGCGCAGGTCAGTTGCCCAAAAGCAATTGAGGCCCATGACAATAAACTGTTGCCTTAAAGAGGCATTCATTCGCTTTCAGTTAAAGGAAACTAATATCATAAATTTAACAAAGTGGGTAGATTGGGTTGGGCTTGGAAAGCAAACGGCACATTTGTGTCGGCTCAGCTTTGTGGCTTATGGCAATTAAATCGCCTTCAGTCACACACAACCTTATCGCCAACATACTCAAACTCAAAGCAACACATTCAGCTTGCCCATTCCGAACGACTCAAAGTCAAGGCATCCAATCAGCAAACAATTGCTGAAAAATATTGCCAGCTATCGCATAACAGTTGATTGATTAAAGTCCCCTACTTTCTGTTTTCCCATACGAACTTGTATAAATCAACAGCTCAATTTTTGACACAATTTCTACAATAAAAATAAATAAATAAATAACAGAATGTGGCAAATTTTTACCGAATTTGGTCAGAGTAGTTTTGTTGACAGATCAGTGCGGTCAAGAAATCAAACATTATGTTTTTTATTCCGGTCAATATTTCATTAAGCTACATACTTTAAGGGTCACCATCATTGCTCCATAAAATATCTGGCAGAAAAAAACAGCAAGTGCTCCATTTTGGATTTAGAGTATTATACATTTGGATTTGGATTTAAAGTATTATACATTAAGCAGTACTGTGAGCTTGAATTGGAATAGACCTCAAGTAAAGTTACAATCAAGGCAATCCAATTTGCTTAATTTGCTTTAATTGAAATTTAATTTTAAAAAATTAATGGAGAAATTGATCATAGAGTAAATAGAAAGGTCCTAAATATGTTAGTGATTTTATAAAAGTATGTCCAATTATTCTTCGAATGAGTTATACACAGGGATTGCAATTGATTCTTCAATTGGTTCTTCGCTAATCTGTACAGGTTCGATGAACGTTGACTGTACAATATTCTTTGGGAAGTTGTCCAATTTGTTTTCCACATCCAAAACGTGGCAGCACTGGACGAGCCCATAAGCAGGATAGTGTCGTAATTTGAAAAACATACTGTTTTTCAGCCAGTCTACCTCCTCGCACATGCTCCTGCACAAACCATCTCTGTCACTGCTGGTGAACTGGTGAAATGTGAAATGTGAAACAGGAGAAATAATCAGATTAGTCAAGATTCGTATTTACGTATGTATGTGTGTATGGCTAAACTAGACTCTTTTATCTCTATATTAACACATACATATATGCACAAATATATGGGGATAGCAAGCAAAACGGCCATAAACACTTACAAAAGGCGAATTGTGGGCAATCACAACGAACTCGTCCGTTCCATTTACTGTTGGCTCCACCGCTCGTATATGTGCCCATATGTGAGCGGGCACCGGCAGAGTGTCGCCCGAGTCCAGCTCGATGGTGAGGCGTCGCGTCTCGTTGCAGGACTGTAGCGTTGGCAGAGTAACGATCCCGGAGACACCGACGTTAACATCGTACTTGGCGGCCAGGCTGGCCATATGCATCGCATTTAACAAATGACGCCAGTTGCCAGTGCGAAGCCCTCGCAGCCACACAATGCCGAGCATCTCCTTGAAATTCAATAGATCAGAGGCGAAGGCCTCGTCCTGTATTAGTCCGGTATACTCGTAGGTTTCAGCTCCAAACAACATATTCAATTGCGTGTCCTTTCTGAATTTCTCGGCTATATCCAACGCACTACAACAGTTGTGAATATTTAAAATTAATAAATTTATTTGATTTAGAAATTTTTCAAATCTTCGCAAACTTTGTGTTTATCACTTACCTGACTTCCCGGAATAGGCTCCTGGTATAGGCTACGTAGATGTCCAGACCCAATCGATTTAACTGGCCAACCTGAGTCTGTAATTGGGATGCTTTCATTTAAATAATAGTGGACTAATAACGATAGTTTTACTCTTGCCTGTTCGATGACCTTGAGTTTGGAAGGATACGCCGTGTAGCTAACATACTTGAGCTGCTGCTGAATGATATCGTAGCACATGGCAACGCTTTTCACTGAGCCAAGATCCCCAAAGCTCTGGCCAACAACGAGACTCATGTGTTTGGCGCAATCTTTCATAGGCGAACGACTCTCATACATTTCAGATACTTGGTTTCCCAAACAATTTATATTAGGTAATCCTTGATTTGAATTAATTTCTGTATTTAAAAAATTCCACGAATCGTCGTAATTACAGGTTAATTTGATTTGGTGGTTGTTGAAGGTTTGTGATCCATGGTAGCTGAATTGGAGATAATTTATGTATATATATATATGTATATATATTGATTTATATAGTCTTCTACAGAATTAAATTGTACACACTTTTGATGTAAGTTGAAACCATTTGAACAAAATAGGTATACACTTTCACCGGCTTCTCGTTGTAAAATCGGTTTTGATTCTGTCACCAAATATTTTGAGCCAAAATTGTTCACAACTTGCGGACGAGGCGAATCTAAGTTCAACACACATCCAGCACTTACGCCCTGTAATAATATGGGGCCAAAAACCAGTCCTAGAATTAATCCTTTTAACATTTCGAACATCGCGAGTTTCAAAAGTCGACTCTATAACATTGCATTGGGCTGAGCTCGCTTTATATAGCACAAGCACAGACATCGCATCAATATTAATAATATATTGAGACATGATAATCATCTATATTTGAACATTTTGACCTAAGTTTATGCAACCATAGTGGGATCGTTGCAGACGGGCTTAGCCGACTGTGGAATTCTCTATAAATTCTAAATTTGATAACTAGAGTTCTTAGAGCCTCCGCTATTTTCGTGGTCGGTGGTGAATGTGGGCAATTACCAATTTAGCGGCAGGTTTGTAGTTATCCAATTTCCCAGTTCCCAGCTAAATTGAGCTTTCACATGTGGGATATTACGAATTATTTTTCATTTCTTTTTATCGATATTTGAATTTTGTGACTTTAACTCAAAAACTATTAAATATATAAGTGTTTTCTATTTGTAGGAGCAGAGAGACTGCGGGGAACATGCGCTCGTATTAACAACAGTTAAGCTCAATATAGGGTATTCAATGAACAGTAATTCAAAAATCCAGTTTAGTTATGCACATCAACACTGATAAGATTATTGAATCGCTGACTCTACATTATTCAGTTGAAACAAGTATAACCCACAGCTGCGCACATATTCGTTGCCTCAAGTTGAGCATATACAAAAACTTATTGATATTACTTCATTTCAAACATGTTTAGTTTATTTTTATTTTTCTAGTTGAGTTCTGCTATCAATTCATTATTAAATTACATTAAGCATTTCCAAAAACAATTAAAAATGCTGTAGTCGATTGAGCTCGACTAATAGCCTGAAGACAAATGTTACAGAATACGGGAAAATTAAGGCGGCATATATATTCATTCAGAAGCCCAAACTGAATACTCGGGGTGAATTTCTAATATTCGCAATATTCTTTAAGAATGTTGAATGTACAGAATGGTGTCCCTTAAGGGAAATGTACAAGCAAATACTGTACAAAATGTACACGTTCAAGAATGACAGAATTGTTAATTGTCGAATCAGACAATAAGAAAGCAATTTATGCGTTACATCATTATAATAATGGATATTTAATAAACAATAATTTCGTGAATTTCAACAGAGATAAGAGAATCAAATCGCTGTTTTTCGCCTGAAACAATCCAATATACGTATATATATATATGCGTATGCTTGATCAGCGTGAATATCAGTCTCAGTATTAGTTTTACAGCCGCCTTTTTTGGTTGTTTTTTTTTTCGGTAAAATACTAGCCATATACAGGCTTCTTCCACTTTTACATTTGCTTTTATCTGGGCGTGGCAAATGTCCATAAATTGTAAGCGCTGTCTTTGCAGCCCAGTGAAGCTAAAGCGAGCACCCTGTAATACATAGACTGGGGTATAATATATTACAACGCCCAGCGAAGTGTTGCCTAATTTAACTCTGACATTGAATTCACTGATATTCATACTGATGATTGTGATGATAATGATAATAATTGGAAAGGGAATAACGCGTAGACTGCCTGCTAGTCTTTAAGGTGACCGCATTTTGACTACGCCGTTCATTCTTGTCATTATCAGTCAAAGTAGAAAACCGGGGGGAGCGGAGGAGCACACTCCTCATTCCACAACACCCGCCAGCTGAGTTAGCAAAATTGAAGTCAGGTTCATTATTGATTTTGGTGCGATTCTAATAAATCGCCAGCCAGTCAGATATTTGTACGACTTAATCTGATTGCCTATTGGTTGCCTTACCTCACATGTGAAACACAGAGCGGAAGATTAGATGGCCTTTGCCTCTGATAGAGTAGATAGAATATAGCATATTCAACACATTGTGTTCTTTATATTTCAAATGCAATGGGTTTGTGATTATTGTTAAATAAATCTTTACCAATATTAATAATTCATCATTGAAATTACAATAGTAAATGGTCGAGTTACTTGAGAAACCTACATTCCTGATTCGGCTATTGATATGTGTGGGGATATTGATTTCTTCAGTCGATCATTTTCTTAATGCAAGACTACTTGCAGCCTATATTCAGGAAGTCGAGTTGAGCAGTTGAGAAGTTGAATAGTTGATCAGCTGCTGGTTGATGTCACCGTATAGCTATTAACAACAGTTTGCGCAAAATGACTCTGCAATAAATCATGAAGAGAAGAGGAAAACATTAAAGGACACAGCTCAGCAGCACAGCACACTAAAACCCAAGAAGAAAGCATCGCAAAAGGACGTACACTGAAAAAAAAACACAAACACACTTGTTTCTTCGCCGAGCTTGACAACAGTAAAAATTGAATGAAAATCTCGTGTTTTTGCCATATATTCTACAAAATCAAACACAAAGCAACGATCGAAAGGTAACAATTTGAGTCGCACGATATTTGTTTTCTGTGTAGCAGTTAGCGTCTCTGGCGATGCTTCGCCAGTTCTTCTGACTGGTTGGGCAAGCAATGTCTTATGCACAGATTTATTATGTGGCCATAAATAAATTACAGGGCCCAACGCACAGGATGCACATAATAACAGGGCAAACGGCAAACGGGCCAAGTGGCCAAAAGCAACAAACAACAAGCCGAAACCAAACCAAAACCAAACCAAACCCGACCAAAGCCAAAGCGAAAGCCAAAAAAAAAGAAAAAAATACATCAACAAATACCAAAAACAGCAAATTACCGAAGCACTGCTCGGCCAAGGGCAATATTCGAGCGTGACCCGTTAGTGAGCTGTGTTAACCCGTCGGGGACGCCTCTCTCGGCTCTGGCGATTTATATGATAAGGGTTAAAGGTTAAGGTCTGTCGACAGGCGCACACCCTAACAGCCTTACACCCCCACACCAACCAGCCCCCAAAGCCCCATGAAAATGTGGAACGATCTAATTAGTGCCGTGCCGCAGTTCAATGCAACATCCATCCCAAAATACCAGATGCTAAGCGAGCAATAATTTGCAACTCTGCAAGTATAATCTTTAAATTGAAGTTGCTCTGAAGAAATACAAATAAAAAAGTATATCACTTGTAAGTCATATATCCAATTATGTCGCTGAATTGCTAAGGCTTGTTTTCTACTTTATTGTTTGAGAACTGTTTTCTATTATGAAGAAATAAATTTCAAAGTAAAAATTAAATCCCTTACTTTCAGAATCGTTGAGTTGGAATCTCTATCAAGAATGTTGTATATCATAATCATAAAATACTAATGATTAAAAACAAATGAAATGACAAAAAAAAAAAAAAAATATATGTTTGAGTTCTGTGTATGCATAAGAAAATAAAAATTAGACGTATTCTTTTTTCGATTTTAGAAAAATATACTTTGGAATGAAGAAAAAAACCTAAGAACCTTTAATTTTAGAAATATGTATATCGTCTGAATAATAATATGAGCTGTCCTTGGGCCCAAAAGTGTCGATTTTCAAAAGTTTTGGCAGATTCTAATTCAATTCGCTGAATATTCCAATCACATTGTTCGTTTCACATTTCAGTTGTACAAAAATAAATATCCGACTGCTGGTTGTAAGTACATCTTAAATACTATATGCTTAACTCAAGCCAATAATTATATCTTTACTTCAACAAAATGTTGCGAAATACGGTATACAAAAGTTATACTTAAAGTTTACTCTTTTACTTGACAGGCTCCGATTAGAAAGCATATAATTTTAAAAATCTATACCTTTCTATACTATTCATAAATTCGAATTTCAATTAAAAAAATGTTGTTACTCGATATGATCACGTCAACTTCAGTATTCTTCTTATGCATAAAACTAGACGCTAAGCAATTAAGTGAATATCTTAAAAACATGGTATTTAGTTTACTTTCCCATTCACCCCAAAATGTTGAACTTTTTATCTTAAGTAGTATGTGTATTTAAACATAATTTATGTAGGCACGCACACACCCTAACGAATGCTTTCACTGAAAGATATATATGCATCGTATATATTGGCAAATGGTTGCATTCAGTGTGTGTTTATTATCACTTTCTATATTTTTGGGGGCTGGCCACACTTAAGTCTGGCACACATTAATAACAGGCAATGGAGCAAAGCATGACCAGACTCGTATCTTCAATCCTTGCTGTTTTCGACATTTAAATACTTCTGAACTCTCACAAAGTTATTCTGAAAATAACAAGCGAACTACAGTGAAAGACAGGTCAAGTGATTTAAATTTTGGGTTTGGTTTTCTCAATACTGAGCATATTTTTGATCTAAGTGACGACGGTGAGTGTCAGTGAGACTGCTTGACTGACTGCTTGACTGACTGATTGACTGACTGAGTTGGCTGGCAATAAATATCAAAGCATTTGTTTCGCCTTCAAAAGCACTAGAGGCAGCCTGGTTGCAACGCTTCTCTCGTGACACGCCCAATCCGCGTGTGGGGGCGGCCGTCAGACGCAGCTAGGAGGCAAAGTCAACGTCCACAGTGCCACAGTCAATGACTGTGCGGCACGTGCGTCGTAATTTGCGCATTTAACATTTAAAGCAGCTCGTGAAGCTCACAAATCGCCGACAACGCTTTCCAGGTATATGGGGGCGTATGCGCAATAAATTTAACGAGCTGCCATTAGAGATGACGACAACGACGACGACGAGGCCAAGATGTCAATGGGCTGGACTGGGCTGGGATGGGATTTGGAGGGGGCGGGGCGTAACAGCCAAGTTGGTTGCATAGAAATTTGTGCAGGCTAATGATAAATTGACTTAATTAGTTGAAGTGCCAAAGCAGCTAAACACAATTATTATGAATTGTTTCGAGCACCGCATGTGTTTCCCAAAAACAATTTCGCTGCACACATTTCACTCAACAATTGCAAATCTCATGGAAATGTTTTGTTTTACTTACGCCTCAAACTTTATTCAAGTTCCAAATGTCTGCTATATATTATATTTATATATATATATATATATATATATATGAGTCCTAATGAGTGCACGCCTCAAAGAGTTCTTTGCTCTTGCTGCCAATGACAATTCAAACGTGCAGCAAATCAACTTTGGCAATTTTCGTTTTCGTTTTTCTTTCCATTTCGATTTCGTATGCAACATGCGATGTTTTT